GCATCTCGACGGACCTGGTACCGACCTTGCTGAACATGTACGATGCTCTCTACGCCAGGCTCAGCGAGGGCGCCGACGCCACCACCACCTCCGGCAAATCCTGCGATGAAGGAGGAGGAGGAAGAGGCGCAGGAGGAGGAGGAGGAGGAGGAGGAACAGGAGGAGAGAAGATGGGGTTTAGTAACGGCAGTTTAGATTTAAGTAAAATTGGTCAGGAGGAGCGCGCGTCAACCAAAGAGAATGGAAACAGTGGTGCTACAGAAAATGGGTTAAACAGTTTTAAAGAAAGCGGGGTGTGTGACCAACGGCTTTTCATCGAGGAAAAGGACGTCGAGAATGAGAACCAAGTGAACAATAACTGTGTCAAATGTGATAAGTGCGGCGTGCTCAGAACTAGCAAGGATGGGTGTCGGTGTAGTGCGAAGTGCGTCATTGCGGAGTCCATTACGTCCATGTTCGAGACCATCGAGAACGACCTCGCCTCGCCCGACTCCTTCTACGAGAACGTGGACAAGCGGCGCCCCAGGAGGGAGCACATCTACGCCGAGCCTCAGTTTCTGATCAAACCCAAAGACAGTCCAAAGTCGACCACCTCTTCCTCCTCCACCAACACGTGTTCCTCGTCCGCCTCCTCCTCCACCCTCACCTCCACCACCTCCACCACCTCTTCCTCGTCAGACAAGCTCCCGGGGACGCCCGCCTCCCCGCCCATGGGCTTCGACCCGAGGAAGCTCAAGGACGTGTACCGGCCCCTGTCGTCGATCTCGTCGTCCTCGTCTTCGTCCTCCAACTCTCTCCCTCGAGGCCCACCCGGAGCCGCCACCTCGTACTTGGCGTCGGCCGAGAGCTTGGAGGACAACGATGCAGACCATTCGGACACCGAGGAGACCACCCGCAGGAGAGACCGGACCATCAAGACCAGGCGGGAGAAGGCGCAGCGCACAGGTCAGTATCCTTCGTTGTGGCTTCGCGGTGGCCGAGTTAAGACCCGAACAACAGCGAGGCAATTAGCGAGCAACTGTGAATGTGTGATTGCAGGGGCGGCTGGGGGTGAATGAGGAAGTGAATGGAACCGTGAGTCTTCCTGTGAATGAACGAATGCGAGTCAGGCGTCAATGAATGTACACTATTCATGTCTGATAAGTCGTATTTTTTCTTCTGTTTCTTTGCAATCTATATTTTTTCTTCGTATTCCATGCATATTTATTACGAGTTTCAAAGCGCCAACTCCACACGTAGACCTTATCAGCACAACCGATCATGTACGTCGTCAAAGGATTGGCGTTTTTGCAGAGGTCTGTCCCGAAGCCACACTCGCGGCCGCTTTGGTTGAGGTCTGCGGATCAAACATTAAGAGAAATTTAGATTAGAGTATCCAAAATGTATCGTTTATTTCCAACGCGAGGTATAAGGAGTAATAGCGTCTTTCCTCATCCCCCCCCCCCCCACCCACGCCCCACCCGCCCCATCGCCTCCCTCTCCCCCAGTCTAAGTCCCTTCTGAATGGCACTTATTGGTCTCCTTTAGAGTACTTGAATCGGGCGACGTGACTTTGTGATCGTGTATCAGGACTGGAAAAACGTGAGAACCTGCGTCTTGCATCCCTCGTCATGGGCCGTGCGTGGTCTATATTCTCCTTTTCGTGGACTCATGAACTTTTATATTTCCCTTGTTTCTTAACCTCATGCCGTCGACATTTTCCTTATTTCTTAGTCTCATGCCATCAGTATTTCAGTATTTCCTTGATTTCGGAGCCTCATGCAGTCGGCATTTTCCTCTTTTCGTATGCTCATGTAATCAATATTTTTCTCAGTGCGTGAAACCATGCCAGGCGATGCTTTATTTTGCTTATTTTGTAACCTCATGCAGTCATTTTGGTTATTTTATAGCCTCATGCAGTCATTTTTTGCTCATTTTGTAGCGTCATGCTGTCTGAATTTTCCTCATGTCGTACTCTCATGCAGTCGATATTTTCCTCATTTTGTGGCTTCACGGCTCGCTGAATAATTGCAGCCAAAGGTCATCGGATGAGTACGCCGTAGTCTGTCTCCCCATTTACACACGTCAAGCGCTCGTCTGTGCTCACGCTCATGACCACGTGACCAAAAGCCATGGATTACGAGGCCCATTCAGTACGTGAGGTCCAGAGACTGCATACCTCCCCCCCCCTCGCCCCCATTCATCTCCCTTACACCCCCCCCTCCCCCCACCCCCGCCACCCCCGCGTGGGAGACGCCTGGCGATTTTTCTCCGGAGATAAAGGGAAGGAAGAGCTCATCGTCGAGAGCTATGAAGGGGCGTGGGATTTATGGATTTTGATGGCGATAGGGGAACCTCGCTCATGGTTTGGGCTGAGGGGCGGCGGGGAAGGGGGTGGGGGCTCTGCGATTACACCACTCTGCTTGATGTGGAGTTAATTATGCTTTGAATTTGATTACGGGGAGGGGGAAAATAGTTAAAACTATATTACATGCAATCAGATCGATCTGCAGCGGAGCCACAGCCCGGGCACTGATGCATAAATTACGCAATTAACTCGGATAGAGGGGAGGGGAAGGGATCGGGGGGGGGGAGGGGTGACGGAGGGGGGGGCGAGGGAACCGCCGACCCCCAACCGGAGTTAGGTATAAAATTTCACGATTGCACGAAAGGCCATATTGATCCCCCGGTTGAGGATGACGCAGAGGCGAAGGGCAGCTGAATAATTATTGGTTGCTCAGGAAGCGCCTCTCGTGGCCGGCCGGAGGGCACCTTTTCCGCCTTTCTTCGATTCCGTTTTCTTTTGGGGATTTTTGTAGCTTTTCTTTTTTCGTTTTATTATTATTGTGCTATCTCTTTTTTATGATTTCGTGGTTTTTCGTGGTTTATTTTCTCTTCCTTATCCTCTTCTCTCTCCTCTAATCTCTCTCTCTCTCTCTCTCTCTCTCTCTCTCCTCTCTCTCTCTCTCTCTCTCTCTCTCTCTCTCTCTCTCTCTCTCTCTCCTCTCTCTCTCTCTCTCTCTCTCTCTCTCTCTCTCTGTTCTCTCTCTCTCTCTCTCCTCTCTCTCTCTCTCTCTCTCTCTCTCTCTCTCTCCTCTCTCTCTCTTCCTTCCCTTCTTCTTTCTCTCCCTCCCTTCCCTTCCCCTTCCCTCCTTCCCTCCCTCTTCCTCCCCCCCTTCTCTTCCTTCCGTCCCTCCCTTATTCCCTGTTCCGAAATTGCCTATTGATTTAAGGTTTTGCCTTATTTGCGCATTGCCGCAGCTTGCACGGCGCTAATGAAAATCTCCCGGAAGTTAAAGAATAGAAGGATTAAGTAATTATTCATTCGCAGGGGGAGAAAGGCGGAGCTGATGATAATCGCCCGTGAAAGAAAAAGAATGAAATGGAAGATGAGTGTGTGAGCGTGAGTAAGAGTGAGAGAGAGAGAGTGAGAGAGTGAGTGAGAGAGTGAGTGAGTGAGAGTGAGTGAGTGAGTGAGTGAGAGAGTGAGTGAGTGAGTGAGTGAGTGAGTGAGTGAGTGAGAGTGAGTGAGTGAGAGTGAGTGAGTGAGTGAGTGAGAGAGTGAGAGAGAGAGAGAGAGAGAGAGAGAGAGAGAGAGAGAGAGAGAGAGAGAGAGAGAGAGAAGAGAGAGAGAGAGAGAGAGAGAGAGAGTCTCTTCTCTCTCCCCTCTCTCTTCCCCGCAGGGCAGCTGCCACAGACCTCAGCTACAAAAACCTTTCATTTGCATTTACTATAGAGTGCGTCATAGCTGAATGGAATAATAAAGGCAACTCGGACGAATACAGTAACTGTTTGTGCGTCGAGTCTGTGAGATAGAAGGAGGGATGTACATACAGATAACACTTTTACATTTTCATTACCCTGTGCGTCAAGTTAACGGGGTTCGCGGGGTTGCAGGCTCGGACACGTGGCACGCAGCGGGACCTTCGCGTGTGTCACGTGATCACCTGCCTCAAGGGAGAGCGTAGTGGCTAAATGTTTTTAAGAAAATGCAGGTCAGCGAATTTTACAAAAGGAAAAACTGGGTTGCCGTTATCGCGTGGGGAATAAGGGATTAGGGGAAGGGGGGTAGGTTAGGGTAGGGGGGGTATGCAGGGGCTTTCGAGAACACGTGGTCTTGCCTTATGAAGATGGCCCGAGCGATTGCGGGGTTGAGCAGATAACGTGATGAACAGGGAGAGGAAGAGAAAAAACAAGAAAAAGAGAGGAAGAAGAGGGTGAAGGGAAATCACGGAGAGTGCATATGAATTTGTTGATAAAACTCTTCAATGCGAATGGTGTTCAAGAGCCTCCCCTGTGCGCGTGATTCGAGGCATGAGATCGGTAATACGAGAGAAATCACAGCACTTTTTTATCAATGGTGGACGTCGAGAGAAGGAGGTTGTGAAGAATAAAGTAAGCAGAAGCTCGCAGCCTCTTCGCTTCTGCTGAAGAAGGGGAAAAACGGCTTCGAAATCATTTTGGTGCTTTTTTATTTTCTCTTGTTCCGTTTTAATTTCTTTTTGTATTTATTTTTTTATTGTTTCTCTATTTGAACATTTATTTATTTTATTATTTTTTTATTTATTTGTTATTGTATTATTTTGATTTTTTTTTTTTTTTTTACTTTTTAATTTTATTATTATTATTTTTTTTTTACTGAAAATCTACGTGTTCGAAGTTGCCACGCGGCTCTTAGGCCTCGGACCCGACCTCTGTTTAACCTTCCCTTTCCTATTAGGCCGCCGAGGATGTTTGTCTAGGCTGTCCACACCGGCGCGATATTTTTCTTGCCAGATGTGAACATTTTAACTACTCTCTCTCTGTCTCTCTCTCTCCCACTCTCTCTCTTCTTTAACAAGCAGCGTCCCTTTGTGAGTAGAGAGGTTTTTAGCTGTTTACACAAATGGCGAGGTGTGGTAATTCGGCGTCTATCGGTGAGGCAGCTGGTCGGTCGCCCGCCGATGGAACTGTCGCCAAATTGCTTCGTTGCTCTCTCCTCGGTCAAGTTACGTGTAGTTATGTTTATTGTTTTCATATTTCGAAACTTCGTGAAAGACAGAATTAAGTATGCTTTTGTGTGTGTGTGTGTGTGTGTGCGTGTGCGTGTGCGTGTGATGTGTCGTGTGCTGTGCGTCGTGCGTGTGTCGTGTGTGTGCGTGTGCGTGTGTGTGTGTGTGTGTGTGTGTGTGTGTGTGTGTGTGTGTGTGTGTGTGTGAGAGAGAGAGAAGAGAGAGAGAGAGAGAGAGAGAGAGAGAGAGAGAGAGAGAGAGCCGGAAACGTGCTTGCTGTAAGTCTGCCTTCGACTGTTTTTCTTCCGCAACGAAAACACATTTGCGCGCAGTGGGGGCGGGCTGTGTGAGTGGCTGGGGAAAAGGGGGGGAAGGGGGTAGGAAAGGGGAAGCAGACGGGGTAAGAAGGGAGGGAAAGGGAAGGAGAGGGGAGTGGAAGGGAAAGTGGGAAAAGGGGTGGGATAGGGGAAAAGGAGGGGGAGATGGAGGACAGGCAGAAAGGGTAATGATGGGAATGGGTGAATGAGGAGGAGGAAGGGGCGGGAGGTTGAAAGAGGTAATGACGAAGGGAAAGGGTTAAAGGGGTGGCAGAGGGGGGGAGGTAATAGGTCTTCAGTGACAGGGATAGAATTACAGAAACATTTTATAATAGCTTGTATATCAAAGCAAAAATGACAATAACAATAATAAGATAGGTGAATGAATAAGTAAATGAGACTTCAACAAAGGTAACACAAATATGATACTCCCTATGTGAGTTTTGCCTTAAGGAACACAAGCACAGCGGTCTGAAACGTGACACAGAAGCACCAGACCCCCAGGACGCGCGCGGGCAAAAGAAAAAAAAAACACGGGAGGGACAAAGGCGCTACATAAAACATGGAGGGGAGAGAAGGGAATAGCAGCAAGCAGGGCGGAAGGAGGGAAGCGAAGGGCGGGGGGGGGGGGAAGAAAGAGAAAGGGGGGCCCGAAATA